GGGTGGGCGGGGCGGGGCGGGGCGGGGCGGGGCGGGGCGGGCCCGGGTTGCCAGCTGGCCCTCTTCCATTACCTGTGTGTCGCGCCTGTGGAGGGGCTCCGACACGACCGTCACGCACGGCTCGTGGGCCTTGCCGCAGAGCAGCGTGGTTCCGCCTGGCCACGCGGTCCTGGCGGGCGCTCATTTCCGTGGTGGTAGCGCTGACGTGCCCCCAGCTCCCTGCACCCTCGGGTCCTGCGGGGCCGCAGTGGCCTGTGCCTGGCGGAGCCACTGTGCCCTCTCGGGGCTGCTGCTCTGGCCAAAGGCACGTGTTCCTGTGGTTTCAGGGTGTGGACTTAGACTTCTGGCTGTCCACCACGCCGCCTGCTGCCACCCCGGCCCCGGTAAGAGCCTGCTAGTGACCCGTGCTGGCCTCGAGTGCCCCTCGGTGGGCACCTGTGCCTTTCGGCCTTGGAGATGTCAGGGCGCCACCTCGGCGCCCTGCCCCGGCTGTGGAGGAGGTGGGGGACCCTCAGGCAGAAGCCCGGTCTGGGCTGGCTCAGTTCTGTGCAGGCAGTGGCTGCGTGGCTGGCCCTCGGCGCAGGGCCCGGGCCCCGAGAGCCAGGCAGCGCTCCTGAGCAACTGCTTTGTGTTAGTGGCCGGGGCCTGGTGGCTCTGGGGTCTCCAGCCGTGACCCCAGTCAGTGCCAGCCGGCCACAGGCCGGGCCTCCTTTCGCCTCTGCTGGCCACCAGTGCTTACTGGGGGCCACACGTCTGTCTGCGTGCTGATGACACGCCTGGCGTGTGGAGGGAGGTTCGTCACTGCGGGGTGTCCCGGACCAGGGCAGGTCAGGGCTGAGGGTGCAGGCCGCCCCATCCTGGGCGCCAGCTGCCTTTTGAGCTTGCCACCCGGCTCCCTGCAGGAGGAGCCCAGCGTGAACGCCGCGGTCACTGCCCCTAAGGAGGAGCCCAGGGGAGGGGAGCAGGACGCCGGCGAGGTCGCAGAGCAGGACCTTGAGAAGGTGTGGGGCGCGCTGTGCAGGAGCCGGGCTGGGGGAGGTGCTAGCCCGCCACCAGGTCCCACCGAGCGGGCCGCTGGGGCCTTCTGTCGCTGTGCTTACGGGGTTCTGCTTCCACACGGCTCCGTGGGCTGTGACTCGCACAGGGAGCATGGGCTTGACCTGAGCCCTGTTCTGTCTCAGAAGCCTTCCGAGCAGAAGAAGAAGAAACACAAGAAGGACAAGGGGGAGCGCTCCAAAGACAAGAAGAGACCCAAGAAGGGGGCGCCTCCGAGGGAAGGGGACGCCGAGCCTGTGCAGAACGGCGCGCTCCGTGAGGAGCCCCTTCCGGTGAGGGTGCTTCCCGAGCACGTTGGGAGCTGGCTGTGGGCATTGCACCCTCCCCGTGCTCCTCCCGGCCCTGCCAGTGTCAGGAGCCCCGGGGTGTGGCTCATGTTGTCCGGGACCCGCGGGGGCCCCTAGTGTGTCGTGCCGGTGGCACCTGGCAGCTTCCGACGTCAGCCCCAGGTCCTCACCGCCCAAAGCTGAAACGTTTCTCTTTTGTTCCAGCCTATGTCTAGGTACTCTCTCCTGGCTGAAAACTCTTACATCAAAATGGTGAGCCACGTGGGGGTTATGGGTGGTGGGGCTGGGCGGGCTCAGGGCTCTTGTTTCTGGATGTGCAGGGCGTGCAGCGGAGCCGGGCGGCCGGCGAGGCTTGCTCACTGTGGGTCGGGAACAGCTGACAGTCGCGGACAGAGCTGGAACCCGGGTGCTCGTGCGAGGGCTCAGGACGTTCCCTTCTTCGCACGTTCATGCACTGGGAGAGCGGGTGGTGCCCACACTCTCCCAAGGCCCTCGTCTAGGCCCACGGGGGTCCCTGGTGGGCTCCCCTGCCCCGCCGACCCCGGACCTTGCTCTGCAGACGTACGACGTGCAGGGCAGCCTGCAGAAGGACAGCCAGGTCACGGTGTCCATGGTCCTGGAGAACCAGAGCAGCAGCTTCCTCAAGAACATGGAGCTCAACGTGCTGGACTCACTCAACGCCCGACTGGCCCGGCCAGAGGGCTCCTCGGTCCACGACGGTGTCCCCGTGCCTTTCCAGCTGCCCCCTGGTGAGTGGCGCCCAGGAGCCCCCGGATCCTGTCATCTGGTGCCCCCTCAGGGCTGAGCCTGGCTTCCCTGACCAAGGCAGGCAGCACTTGAGGACAGACCCAGGCCAGGCTTGCGTCCCTGCCACCTGCCCAGGTGGCTGCACCCCCATCTGCCACCCCAGGCCGTGCCCCGTGCTGCTTCTCAGGTCCGTTTCTCGCCCTCTCCAGGCATCTCCAACGAAGCCCAGTTTGTGTTCACCATTCAGAGCATCGTCACGGCGCAGAAGCTCAAAGGGACCCTGTCTTTCATCGCCAAGGTACCTGGTGGGGGAAGGGGTGCACGCTGAGGGTCAGCTGCGTGCCCCGCCCCCGCCCACCCTGTGCCCCTGCTCCTGCAGAATGACGAAGGTTCCACCCATGAGAAGCTGGACTTCAAGCTGCACTTCACCTGCACCTCGTACTTGGTCACCACGCCGTGCTACAGGTGCGCCACCCTCCCGCCCACCCCTGGCTCCCCACTTCTGTGCCATGGGAAGCTCTCCATGCGGTCACATTGGCAGCGTCCTCTGACCCAAGACGAGGATGTGCACCGAGTGTTGGGTGACCGGCTTGTGGTTGGCACAGAACACCCAGTGCGTCTGCCGGGCCAGCCGGCTCGGGCGCCTGACTCTCAGCAGAGGCCTGGCGGCCCTAGCGCTGCACGTCTGAGCCCAGAGTGCGGGCAGGGCTAGCCCTCCTGAGGCACCTCCCCGTGGCCCTCTCCCCGTGGCCCTCTCCCCGTGTCCTCACATGCTCGTCCATCCCTGCACGCCTGCATCCTCATTTCCTGTTCCCACAGGGACCCTGGTCACGTTAGATTAGGGCCCTGTCTCCAAGTGCGGTCATGTCCTAGGGACACAGTTCAGCTCGTGACTTCCTACCCATAAAGGACGCGCCCCACCCCCTGGGCTGGGGCCTCTGCCTGCCCTGCTGCAGGGGAGCCCCCTGTTGTCCCCCGCCCCGTTCTGTGTCCTTCCCACAGTGACGCGTTTGCCAAGTTGTTGGAGTCCGGGGACCTGAGCATGAGCTCAGTCAAGGTTGATGGCATTAGCATGTCCTTCCAGAACCTTCTGGCAAAGATCTGTTTTCACCACCGTTTTTCCGGTAAGACTGGACGTGCCGACAGATGGCTCGGCCCTCGTCCCGTACCTGTGGCCGGCCCCTGCCGCCAGGGGCCGGCCCGGCCTCACCCCCAGGCCCTCTGTTGCAGTTGTGGAGCGGGTGGACTCCTGCGCCTCCGTGTACAGCCGCTCCATCCAGGGCCACCACGTGTGCCTCCTGGTGAAGAAGGTGAGCCTCGGGAGGCCCGGCCAGGCCTGTCCGCCCGCCGCCGCGAGCCTGTGTTTGTGAGGAGTGTCGGCCCTTCCTTTCCTCCGTCTGGCCTTGGCGTCGGGGCACTCGTGCATTCCCTCCTCTCGCATTTCCCGGAAGAGACTGCGTGTAGTCAGTATTCCTTCTTGCACGTTACGCAGAATCCGCCAAGGAAATCGTTTGGGTCTGGGGGTCTCTTTCCGGGGCGGGGGGCGGCGGTTCTTTTTTAAAAGTTTTTATCTGCGAGTTCACTTTTGTTCTTTGATAGCCGTAAGACGTCTTGCTTTCTCTGTTTCTTATTGGGTGATTTTTGGTAGTTCGTAGTTTTCAAAGAATAGGTCTGTTTCATCCAAGTTACAGAGCTGATGGTGTGTCAAGTTATCCAGTTCTCTTCATGTCCTTTTAGTGTCCGAGGGATCAGTGGTGATTATTTTTCATTCTTGATGTTGGTAATTGGTGTCTTCTCTCATTTTTCTTGGTTATCCTGGCCAGAAGTCTTACTTACCCATTTTGTTGATCTTTTGAAAGATCAATTTGATAACCAATCTTTTTAAAAAGTTAGGGACTACCCTGGCAGTGCAGTGGTTAGGACTCCGTGCTTCCACTGCCGGGGGCCTGGGTTTGATCCCTGGAGTGGTGCGGCCAAAAAAAAAAAAAAAAAAAATAAAAAAAAAAAAAAAAAAAGAAGAGACAGGTCTTGGTCTAAGTTTTCCCCTTAAGAAACCATAAATGAGCAAAATAAACCCAAGGCAGGCAGAAGTAAGGAGATACGCAGCAGAACTCAATACAATTTATTGTTTAAAGAAACATTAACTTTTTTTTTTTTTTTTTTTTTTTTTAATATTTATTTGTTTGTTTGTTCCTTTATTTACTTACTTATTTTTGACTTGAGCCAGGTCTTTAGTTGCCGCACGCGGGCTTTTTCGTTGTGGCATGTGGACTCTTAGTTGCGGCATGGGGGATCTAGTTCCCTGACCGGGGATCGAACTGCACCACCAGGGAAGTCCGAGACCTGTCTCTTCTAATAAAGTTTTTAGTGTTATAAATTTTCCTCTAAGTACTGTTTTGGATGAACTGCACACGTTTTTATGATTCATTTTAATTTCTATACGGTTCAAAATACTTTCTATCACTCCTTCCTCTCTGACCCATGGATTACTTAGAAGTACGTTAATTTCCAAGCGTTTAGAAAGTTTCCTGTTGCTTTTTGGTTACTGATTTCTAGTTTGACTTTTCAGGCCTTTGAAATGTGCTGAGGCTTGTGCTCTGGCCCAGGATGTGGTCATTCTGGGTGGATATTCCATAGGTGCCTGGAAGCATGTTATACCTGTCACCTAGATCCTGCTGGTTGATGGCGTTTTCCTTTTCTTCTGGATCCTTGCGGATTGCAGATTTTCTTCTGGCCCTTGATGAGTGAGCAAGGAGTATGAGGCCAGTGGTGGTCAGTTGGTCTGCTCCCCCAGTTCGTCAGGCTTTACTCCATGTGTGGGAGCCCTGTTGTTGGCTGTGTGGACCGTTAGAATTGTGGGATCTTGGCGAGGGACCCTCTCATCAGTGGGTGTGCTCCTCTCTGTCCTGGGCTGTGTTCTTTTCTCTGAAGGCTACCTTGTCTGGTATCAGTTCAGGCACTCCTGCTCTCATTTGATGGGTGCTTACGTGGTATGTCTTTTGCTATGAACCTGCCTTTATCCTGTTTGGATAAGAATTCCTTGTGAATGCTGTAGAGTTTGGGTCACGTGTCCTTATTCATCCTGTCAATCTCTGTCTTTCAGTTGTCATGTTTAGACCGTTTGTGCTTAAAGTATTACTGATTCCTTTGGGTTTGTCCCACATTTTGTTTTTTCCCTGTGTTTTTCGTTCCTCTTATTCCTGTTCCCACTTTCTGTGGCGTATGTGAGCATTACAGTATCCCGTGTTTATATTGTTGGCTGTGTGGTTGACGATCTCCATGTATCTGCTTGCGGGGCTCGAGGGATTACATGACACACTTGGTGTGCACAGTCTACTTGGAACTCAGGCGGAATGTAAAAAGCTCACACCCTCTCGGTCCCTTGACCTTCCCTTCTCGTGGGCAGCTGTCTTAGGTTTTGCCTTTGCAGACGTTGAAGACACCTTACGCCACGTTACAGCTTTACAGATTTCAGAGAACTCGGGTGCAGGTGGGGGCGGGAGGGGGTGAGATAGCCTCTTGTGCTCGCCCACGTGTCTGCCATTTCTGTCGCTTTCACTCCTCACGTTCCATCCTTCTGGCTCATTTCTCTGTGTCTGAAAAACTTCTTTTTAGATCAGGTCTATTGGATGTATATTCTCTTAGTTTTCCTTCATCTGATTATTCTTTATTTCAGTATTCCTCAAGGCTATTTTTGCTGGGTATGAAATTCTGGCTTTGTTGGTCTTTTCACTCAGTACCTCAAAAATAGGCCATTTCCCCCTTTTTTAAAAAAAAAAAAAAAAAGAAAGAAATATTTACTTATTTGGCTGCGCCAGGTCTTAGTTGCGGCATGCAGGATCTTTTTAGTTGCAGCATGAGGGATCTTTGGTTGCGGCATGCGGGATCTAGTTCCCTGACCAGGGATCGAACCTGGGCCCCCTGCATTGGGAGCACAGAGTCTTAGCCAGTGGACCACCTGGGAAGGCCCTAGGCCATTTCCTTTTGGTGTCTGTGGTTTCTGACAAGGAACATTTTACTTTTACTAGGGAATGCATCGTTTTCCTCTGGCTATTTTAGGTTTTTCTTTGTCTTCAGTTTTCAGCAGTTTGTGATGTGTCTGGGCATTGACTTCCTTGGGTTTATGTTTAACTGTGTGGATTCTGCCGAACTTGCTGAATATGTGCGTTTATGTCTTTTGCACAATTTGGAAGTTTTCAGCTATGATTTAAATACCTCTTCAGCACTGCATTCTCTGTCCCCTCCTTCCGGGACCCCTGTGATGTGAATCTCAGACCTTTTGTTACTCTGCCCACCCCACTCCACCCCCGACTCCTTTCCGCTCTCTGTTCAGCTTCGATTATTTCCATTAATCTCTCGTCTGGGTCATTGACTCTTCTGTCATGTCCATTCTGCTGTTGAGCCCATCCAGTGAGCTTTTCATCTTGGCTGTTGTATTCAGGTCTAGAAGTTCCACTGGGTTGATCTTGACTCTTCCGTTCCTTTGCTGAGACGTTGTGTTTTCTTGTGTGCTTCAGGAGTGTACGTGGTTGGTGATGGGAGGTTCTCGTAGTAGCTGCTTCAAAGCCTGTTAGGTGATTCCGACATCCACCTCTTATCGGTGGGCGTTTGTTGATTGTCTTTTCCACATGAGCTGAGATTTCCCCGGTCTTAAGGTGCCAAGTGATTTTGGACTGTATCCTGGACACTTCCTTACACCCTGTGGAGAGCGTTGACACACAGGTGCCAGCTGCAGGACGTCTGGTCCCACGCCCTCCAGTTTTCACAGCCTTCCTCTCTGCACAGCTGCCTCCTGTGTGCCCCTGTGGGGCCGGGCTGGGTGGGGCTGTGTGTCCTCTGCAGGGCTGGCATTGCTGCCTCTGCTGCGCTCTGCCAGAGCGTCCATCCTGGGCCCCTGGGAGACAACAGGGTGCGGTGCACCTGCTCCTTCTTGCCTGGAGCCCCTCCTTTTGATTGTGAAAGCACCTGGGCATAGGAGAGCATTTGTAAAAGTTGCAGGTACTTGGGAGTCACAGGGTGGCATCTCAAGGCGCTGGCCGTTATTTCCCCGTTGCAGGGTGAGAAGTCGGTGTCGGTGGATGGGAAGTGCAGCGATGCAACGCTGCTGAGCAACGTGCTGGAGGAGATGAAGGAAACGCTGGCCAGATGCTGAGCGAGCCGCCCGCCATGGGGGCGGCTCGCGGGGAGGGCGGCCAAGCGCCGGGTTTCTGCTCTGTCGCAAGGACTGGGTGCAGCCGGGAGATAACCCAGTCCACCGTCATCCACTGTGTAGACACTGAGGTTTATGTTGCGTTGATTTATCTTGTCATCTTTTTTACTTTGCCCTCACTGCTCTCTCTGGCGGGAAGCCCCCTTCCACTCCCCAGGCCAGCAGGGGCTTCTGTAGCCGGAGCGGACTGTGCACGTGGCCACAGGAGCTGCCCGAGGGTGAGGGTGACCGCCATCCAGGCCGGTTCCTGGTGGGGACCAGACGGGGTGGCGCGTCCCGCTTCTGTCAAGCCATCCAAGCCCCATGAGTCCCCAGATGCCCTGCCCACTGGCAGCTGGGGGGTGAAGAACAGGCCAGCTACTCAGGCGACATTCCTGTTCATCCCTGACGTCAAGGGTCACGTCCTCCCCGCAGGACACATGGTGGGAGAGGGTCGTGCAGGCTCTCGTCCATCACATCACGTTCATCCCACCACCATGTTCATGTGTCCGCCGAGCGGGGGGTGCCCAGCGGGGATCCCGGACCTCACTGGCTTCTGTGCCCAGCCAGGTGTTGGGGTGAGTGGTGGAGAGCTGCGACTCTGGCCCCTCTGCTCATCACTGGACGCTCTGCAGGTCTGTGCCTGCACGTGCGGAAGGGCCTAGTCCTGGGCTCCGCAGCCCTGACGGCGAAGCACGTGTGTCCAGGGGCGGCTGGGCCCTTGAAATGCACCTCAGAGGCAGGGAGGGGGGACCCCAGCCCACCCCCGTGAGACGGAACTTTCCTCAGAAATGACAGTCCTCGATGATGTTTTAACTTTTCCTTTTGATGAAAACTGTCACTTTAGCATGTAGAGTAACCTATTACAGAATCCTGTGCAGTGATTCTAGAGTCTCGAAATGTATGATGTGTTATATAAGAATTTATTTGCTATCGACATTCCCGTATAAAGGAGAGACATATCATGCTGCTGTAATGATTCTGTGTCAAGATGATCCAATAAACTTGCAAAACAGACACTCCCCTGTTGGGTCTCTGGCCCATGACAGTGTGTGCCCCCCCAGCCAGGGGATTCTGACCCACTGTGCGGGTCAGCACACAGCCCCTGAAATGCTCGTGGTCCGAGGGGGGCTGCAGGGCACCCTCATGGAGGTTGCAGTGTGCAGGGGGAGCCCTTGCCCTCCTGCCATGCACCCCTCGGCCCCTCGGGAGGGGACGTGGTCCTCACGTCATCCAGGCCCCTGGGCTCTGGTGGTAACGAGGAGCCACCTGACACACACCCCCCCATGGGATTCTGAGGCGTCCACCGATCTCCCTCCCTTTACTAGGGAACCCCATTCGGAAGGGGTGTGCAGGGTGAGCAGAAACATTACTAAAATAAAGTTTAAGTTAGGTAGACGCTTGTACACGCACGCACACACACACCCTCATTTCTGATCTTTGAAGTGCCCAGTGAGAAAAGGGCAGTAAGAAGTCC